GTTTAGGGTTTAGGGTTGAGGGAGACGGCGTAAAGTGGGCTTACCAGTAGACATATGACAAAAAGACTTCAACGATCCATCTATCTATGTGCTTCAGGGGTTGAGGGTTCGTAGGCTGAGGTTAGGTGTCAAAGGATTCCGGATTTTACATGGCATGTTTAGAGCCTATGCATTGCTAACCCGTGGGTCGCAGATGGCTGTCGTCTAAACGCCAGGCATCAGGGTTGCCTCACATGTCGGCCGTAAAGCACACATGCCGCAAAAGGTTCTACTGCTACATTCGGAAACATATCCCAAACCCTAAACCCCTGAACGGCTTTAATTTCCAAAAGAAGTTAGAAGTTCCGAAGCCCCAACACTGGCTACCTCTCAGTGCCCAGAAACCCTACTTAAGCCCTAAACTACCCCCGAAACAATAGAGCCATTGTAGAGCCCCTTGACGGAAGCCATTGAAGATCGTAGCTCTTAAAAACCCCTTTCCAAACACTACAAAGCAGGGTTTAAGGTTTAGGGTTTNNTTTAGGGTTTAGGGTTTATAGAACCACCTTGAATCAAACCCTCTAAGGACCCGACATCCTCTAAGCCCTACAAGGCCTTACATAAGGCTACCTGGACCCCAGAACGGAGAGCTATGATCCTGTTTTGGAAAACTAAGCTAACGCAACAAAAACGCCACACGCGAGGATCTAGGTAGAATCCACATGCAATCCTCATGCACCTCTTGTAAAACCCGTTCAGCACCCCTGATAGACCCCCATACTAGAAGAATACGAGCTATGGAAAAATGAAAACATAAGAACATAATCGTACTAGTTCTCATAGCAATGATATCACAAACACAAATTATAGCACTAAAGATGAAAGCCAAGCCCTCAATCCTAAATAACAATACTGGAAATAAAAACAACAATATCAGTAACACCAATAACAACAATAACAATAACAACAATAACAACAATACCAATCACAATAATAACAACAATACCAATAACAATAATAACTAATAATACCAATAATAACAATAATAACTAATCATAGGAGTCCTTGTTGTCGGCCAGCTCGAACTTCACCCTGGAAGGCTCATCGTTGAAGCCTCGGGAGCGCGGCGCTGCTCTCAGAACTCTCCGGCGTAGTTCCCCTTGGGGTTTAGGGTTTAGGGTTTAGGGTTTAGGGAAAATACTTAGGAGCGAGGAATTTGAGGTTTAGAATTCCTTTCAGGGTGCATTTAAGGGGCATTTGAGGTTTAGAATTCCTTTCAGGGCTCGCTTAAGGGTTTCATGGGGGGGTTACTGCTTTAGAATTCCTTTCACGGTTCACTTAAGGGTTTCATAGGGGCTAATTATCGGTGAATTACTGCAAGCCTTGTGCAATAATGGATTCGACTTTCGAGCTGTGAGTTTCGGGCTTAGGTTTAAGGTTATTTTTTTTTTTTTAAGTGCAATGACTCTTTTGCGTCTGCACGAGCCTGCCTCAGGAGAGGCTTACACTGTTAACAGACCCTCTCTCAGACGTCACCGTTCACTGCCATCTGTCATCATAACGTCTCAAAGTTGCTACGCCTCCACACACATGCTCGTCACGATCCTCGTACTTCCCACTTCTCACCATCAAGCATCTCCACCAGCCTCCATCCATCCCCAGGTGGTAGTACTGGAAGTGCTGGAAACCATCCATCCATATAGCTGCCGCGCTCGACGACGTCGCAGGTTCGCAGGCCGAGGTCCCAGGTCCTGCTGCAACCTAACCTCCGCGTCCACATTCGGCTCGTCCTCCGGCACGAGGAACACGGCATCCCTGCTGCGAGAGCGTTCGCGCAGAACTTCACGTGGGTTTCGGTCAGGTGGGCGCGAAGTCAACGTCGCCGGCGACGTAGATGAAACCATGGCCAGCATGTCCCCCGCCTGCACAATCCGAGGATTGGGCCTCGGCCGCTGGCCCCGTCGTCTTCCTAGCCGCAGTGCTCGAGCGTCAGCATGATGTTGAAGCGCAGGCACGCTATGCCCCGGAGGGGCAGCCCCAACTAACAACTGCTCGTCGGCCTGGATGATGAAGAGAACTCGGTCGTCCTCCGCCGGCCAATTTCCCTCAGGTGCCTCCCTGCCTTGGTCTTGATACAGACGCCGGACTGCCGCCCGCCATAGTCTCCTTCTGTAGCCTGCAATGGTGTGCGGGTCATGGCCAGGTAGCATGGTCTGCAGCTCAGCCAACGTCCCAGGAAGGTTCGGCTGCAGGAGGACCACCGGGTCCGTGACAGCGTGGAACGGCACCGAGAGGGACGCACCTGAGCCGAACTGGCTCTCCTGTTGGATCACCGCCCAGACTGCCTCGTCCATGGACCCTCCATTTAAGGGGGCTGCAGACAGGGGGAGCCCTAGCCATGGCAGAGCTTCGTCAATGGCAACGCCCAGGAGTTGCTGGCAGTGGGCCAGGTGACGTTGTCGGTCACGAAGGCGGCGGATGAGGTCCACGATGTCGACCTGGTTTCCCTGGACGGCGGCCCGGTTAACTGCATCTCTGACCAGGTCCGAAGGCCACGAAGGAGAAGAGCTGGTAGAGGTAGTCGTTGCAAGGTACGAGCCAAGCTGCACGAAGGTCGTGGCATCACTGAAGATCTCCCCAACATTGTCAGCGAAGGTCTCCAGCGAAGTCGTCCCCATCATCATTTGCTGTGGTACTGCCCAAGTCACCCCCGTCGAAGTAAGGGTGCACGTCTCCATGGGCAGTGATGGTGGCTGGCCCCAAAGCCAGGGGGCACAGGAGGTCGAGGTCTCAGTCGTGGGTGGTGTCGCGGCTGTGGTCAGCAGTGAGGTATGAGGTGACGAGGCGGCTGTACCCGGCGCGGTAGACGACGTGTGAGGCGCCCCCTCTTGACCCGAAGAAGACGAAGCGGTGGGGCGGCCTGGTTGATCGGCGTCAACCTCTCTCCAGATGCCTTCCGGCTCGAGTGTCACCCGGGAGTAGATCGCGAGCTGGGCCGGCGTGAACGGCTCAACTTCTTCGGGGGCAGCATCCTCCGCATCGTCAATGATGTAGCCGTTGGAGTCGATTTCCCAGCCAGCGTCTCCACTATGTTGAGAAACTGCCGGCGACTGGGCTTCAGTTTCCTCCTCCATTGACGAAGACCGTCTTGGCGCATCGCTGGAACCAGAGGGCTGTTCATTCATGCTTGCCGACGCAACGGTGTCTCCTGACACTGCTCTGCTGCTCTGGCTCGAGGGTGCTAGCGGGGGCGTCGGCGTCATTTCGCTGCCTTGGAGCGGCGTCTGTAGGTGTCCCTCGAAGTGTTCAAGCAGCACACGGATAAGTTGTCTGGCCCACTGGAAGACACTCCACCTTCTGAATTCCGAGGTTGGCACTCTCCGGATGGGCAGGTACCCCCGTGGCATCAGACGACGAGCAAGGATCTCCAGAATCGCTTCAAGACTGTCAATGCCCTCGCTCGCGCGTCTGACGAGGCAGCCAATTGCCCACCTTCCTTCAGGACCTTCGCCATGGTCCTGCATGTTCTCCAACCTGTCAAGCATGATTTCCAGCTGCCGGATGACATTCTCAGGGATGCGGTGTTCCTGAAGACGTGCACGTTCAGAATTTGTCATCTGCATCATGGAGATGGCGTCGGTGGGGTCAATCTCTCTCACCACGGGGAACAGGCCTGTGTTGGGCGGGAGTTGTACCTGCCTTGATGTCCACGTCGTCGAGCTTATCAGTGGCGGCGGCGAGGTAGAGGTCGTAGAAGAAGACGATGTTGCCAACCAACTCTCCCACTCCCTCCTCGTCCATCTTCCATTCATCCCTTCGGCGCCGCCCTCCCATTGGTTGTTCCACTCAGTCCAGGAGCACCCATGTGGGCTCGGGCCCCAGTTCTGCCATGTCGCAGCTGAGCTCGATTCCCATGAAGAGGACGAAAACGTGCTCGGTTCCCACCAGGAGGTACTTTCGGAGGTCCACCACGTCGTCCCATCGTGTGGTTCCCTGTCGGCCCATGTCGAGCTTGGCCCACGCGAAGAGGTACTTTCAGGTGTCCCCCAAGTCGTCCCATTTTGTGTATTCCAGCTGGTTGGGGGTTCCACATTCCACGTAGGCGAGGAGGTCCAGGAAGATGAGGACATATCATCCCCAGGCGTGGTGGTGGCATCGGTCCGTGTGCTTTCGTCTTGGCCTTCCTGTCTCGCCTGTCTTTTGGCTTTATCCTGAGCATACTTGTGGAGCCACGCCGGTTTCCATCGCCCCTGTAAACACTCATCCATTCTAGCTTGTTTTTTGAGGGTTCGTCGTGGGCCGGATCCTCCTCGATGTGCTCTGGCTTCTTCCGGTGTCCTAGCGCGGGGCTGCCAGACCCCATGTAACCAGAACCCCACCTGTAGCGTGGGCTGCTGGCTTCTGTCATCATCGGTAGAGTCGACATCTGCGAGGGTTCCCATGTCGTGCTGGCCGGCAGAGGGTGTCGAGCTTGCGGCTGCCACGTCATTGGTGTTCGTCTGGTCCGAGATGGAGTCTTCCCCAGCCGTGGTCGAGGCGTCCGAGATGTCGGCCACGTTTGCTCTAACCTTAAACCGGTCGCCATAGAATGTCTCAGCATGTACCACGTTCTCCCCCATGTGTGTGCCAGAGCCGTGAACAGTGAAGGGCGGTTCGTCTTCTTCCTGCACGGAGGGCAGCTGGCCATTTGGAGCAATCTGTGCTGCTAGTCTCTCGCGAAGCCTGTTCTTGACTGTGCCGTTGGGATGATGCCACCGGTCACGGCCGACACGTACATTGTTTCCCCGTTGTGTGATGCCCTGTTCTAGGACTTGGGACACTGTTGAGGAGGGCAAAGCAGCCCCTGACATACTCGACGGGCTGGAACTCTGGGAGGGTGCTGTGGAGCTCGGCGAAGAGCTTGAGCTGGACGGCGAGGATCTGGAGGAGGAGCCCGAGTCAGCGCCAATGGTTGAGGTAGTGCGCGGCTTCCAGGGTGTCGCCATCGATGGGTGCCAGGGCGGCTGCGGTGCCGAAGGTTTAGTGAGCGTCGGAGCTTGGCGGGCGGGTGCACTGTCATGTTCTCCTTGATCGGCTGGTTGGCGATGTGCAGGGGCTTGTCCACGTAGAGCGCGGCCATCAGCAAGGCGATCGCGTAGAAGGCCACGTAGAACACGTCCATCAGCAAGGCATTGATGTAGTGTTAACGTAGGAGTCCGAGAAAGAGATGCGGGTGCAGTAGGTGTGGGCGCGGTCTCATCTACCGCGTTTTCTTGGCCCGTCATGTCATCCCTTGGCTCGGAGTGGACGTCCCAAGTCGTCCCGGGTCGCGAGGACCAGGCTCTGGAGGTAGAAGGGCATGAGGAGGAAGCGGACGGGTCTTGTGCGCCAACATCATCCCATACTGACCTGGTGTTGCTGGGGTGCGTTTGTACAGGATCTGCGTGAGCTGTAGTGCCGCTGTCATAGTCATCACCAACGTCATCCCAGGCCGACCAAGCTGACCAGGTTTGACTGGGTTGCGGTTGTACAGGAACCTCGTGAGATGTAGTGCCGTTGTCATAGTCATCCCACGCAGAGTGCTGTCCTTGCGCTGATGCATGGAAGGTTTGCACTGCTTCGGCTGCGTCTATCTCCTCCTGCTGAAGTGCGAGGCAAACTTCTTCATCCCAGCCGGAGGCCATGTAGTGTATAAGTCGATCATATGGTGCACTTGTCTGGCCGGTCAACGGCGGTTGAACATGTAGGTGGGCGGCAGGGGGAAAAGGTGCATTGACTCCTTCTGTGTGGGTCGGCGCGGTAGGAGACGAGGAGCTCGGCGGGGCGGATGATGTCACTGTTGGGGCAGTCCACGAGTTTTCCCAGAGGTGGCCAGGATGGTCGTCAGGGCCAGCAAAGCAAAGACGAACCCAAGTCCACCAGTGGAGGACACCAAGGAGGGGCATCATCATTGCAGAACAACACGGACAAAGAGGAGCGTGAGGGCCAAGAGGAATGTCTTGAGCCTGCTGCAGGGCATACACGAAACGTGGAGAGCATGTAGTGCATGAGCGGAACTGCAAGGAAATTTGAATGATATCACCAGGTGAAAGGAAAGACAAGAGCAAGTACGCAGCAGTGGTGCACGGCTGATGGTGGGTCTATCAGTACTGAACTTCACTCGACCCACCCTGTCGGCAAGCACCTGGCTGGGTGTACCGGCTCTTGTTTTAGCACTGGATGGCCAGCTGTCGTCCTTGCGTCCATTTCACGTCCCACATCTGGAGATATGAGCTGCGTTCAGTGGTCCATTTGCCTCTGCCTTGGGCAAGAGTGAACCACTGTACCCCATGTGCGTCCGACATTTGGCGTTCTGTACTGTGCACATGAACTCTGCCGGGGTGATGTTCACCGACTCTCGGTCCTAGTGCTTGTTGGTGTCTCCACCATCCAGTGCATTTCCAAAGGAGGGCTCGCATTGGGAGGGAGGGAATGACATGGTGTTCGGAGAGCTTCTCGGCCTTCCGAGCCCAATGGCCAAACAGGGTGTGCTGCAAGGTGAGAATGGAGGTGGACCATCGCGGGTAGCTGTTGGCAGCAAGCCATGCTCTGCAGTCGCGCATCGTGCGCGCATTCCACTCAACCCACGACTCTCCACTTTGTCGGTGCATCCTGAACGCGTCGCGGAGTACATGTAGTTGTAGTAGGTTAGCTTGTCGAAGATCTTCCGGCGCCCAGAACGTCGCCCCAGCAGTCCACTGAAATTGGCTCGCCACCAGGGTTTGCAGTAGGGTCATCTTGCGGTTCCAGGCTGCTTTGCCCCTCAGAATGTCCCGATGGGCTGCGGCAGCTTGTCTGGTCCGAGCAAGGAGTTCCCTCGCCTGTTGGCTCGGAGAGTCGTAGAAGTTGAAGGACATCCCAAGGACTTTGACTGATTCATCCGAGCTGGCGACAAAGAAGTGGTTGTTCCCGACTTGAACTTTGCGTGGGCCTTTATAAGCGGGGCTGGCAACGATTTTCGTCTTTTCTGTCGCCAGGCACAGGCCGCTGCGTTTGAGAAGGCGCTCAAGAACGTTGATCTTCTTCCCTAACTTGCTCAGCTCACCTTCAAGCAAAAAGATATCGTCCTGATAGAAAACCAGAGGGACGTCGAGGCCTGGTACTGGGTCGCCAAAATCTTGCCATCCTCTACATCGAACCAAGCCGCTGAGGATGTCGTCCATCACGAGGCCAAATATCTCAGCTGATTCCGGAGCTCCCTGTTTGATTCCGATGTTCGGCTTTAGCAGGACGTCATGTCCTCCAGGCACTCGTCCCTGCAGCTTGAAAGTGCGAAGTTGCGCGAGAAGGTAGCGTAGTTCGCAGTGTCCCTGTTCTGCTGGAAAGTTGGCTTTTAAGTACTGGACAATCTTTAACCTGTCGATCCTGTCGAAAGCCCCGGAGATGTCAAGTTTGCAGAGGAGGATGGGCTTCTTCCATTCGTGCACCACATCCCGGATTCTGGATATCGTCCCGATGATGTCTGCGGCCTGACGGCCTTTGCCACATCCTGATATGCGGGAGCCACGTCGCAGAAGGGGAAGACATCTGCTGCACACCACTTTGTTGACAAGTTTGTGGAACGCGGAACTGACACAAATCGGCCTTAGGTCCTTCGGCGACTGTGGTGAGTCGACTTTGGCCAACAAGGCGAGGAAATTGTCTTCCCAATCCGAAGGTGTAGAGCCAGTTTTCACGATGTCGTTGATGATGTCAAGTAGTTGTACTCCAAGCTTCTCATCCGAGGCCACGGTGCGTAGTAGGTGGACGCTGATACCATCTGGGCCAACTGCACTGTTGACTTTCATCTGCTGTAGCTGTTCACGTACCTCCTCCAACACGAAAGGCGAGAAGTCATCCCCTTCAGGGACATTGTCGATGTGTTGCTGCAGTAACTCATCCCAGTCACCAAGATATGGGTTACTGAGCTTGTCCGCGAGGTGGACTTGTACTTCTCGTGTGAGCTGGGCGGAAGAGCGGTTTTGTAGCATTTTCCCCCACCATCCTCGGCGTCTGTTCTTTTCCCGTTGAAGAAGACGGTATTGGGTCCAATCGCCGTTGAGGATCCGCGTCATTCTCTGGCCTTGCCATAGTCTGCGTTCACGTCTTCTTTGCCGATGAACATCTTTCCAGGCGGTTCTGTCGCGAGAAGTTCTGGCTTCAGCGATGGCTTGCTTGAGGTCACCCGAGTCACGATAGGCGAAGCTGGTTTGTGGAGTAGTGCAGATCTTCGCCAGGAACTTGAGGTCATTGGCGCTCTGGATGGAGATATTTGTCGGCAGAGGTTTCGACATCCTACGCATTCTTGAATCATTTCCCCACTGGTGAGGCGATCGCCCCGAAGTGGAAATCTCGACGGCGAGGGTGGCGTGGTCTGAGCCAATGGTGTGCCGCATCTCCCCATCGATGAAGGTATCTCCACTATCCAGATGGCGAGCCCAAATTGCATCAATCTGACGTCCTGTACGACTGCTGTCCCGAGGAAAGTGGGTGGGCGCTAGCCACTGGTCTCTCCGTGGTGCAACAGGACGGAGTCCCAAACTCTGTGCTTCAACTGACAGGAAGTTCAGATTTGCGGAAGCATTGCTTAGGAGTGCCCTGTTGTCGTGCGGGTCGTGGTTGTCCGTCCATTTGGGCACCTCGTTCATGTCGATCCCACAGGCAAGCGGGTGATGTCTCCACTTTTTGGGGCAGGTTCGAAAGAACTGCAGCACCGCATTTTGATAATGGGCATTGGTGACCCCAGTCAATGCATGAAGCGATCCCACCACAACTCGTCCTAGGTCACGTAGGCGGAGAAGCACCCAAATACCTCTGGTTGTGGCTACTTTGTCAAC